TTTCATTTGAGAAGTATATATTAGTTTCATAGAAGGGCTGTGTACATTGGATACTTTTTCTTCCATTCCTGTTCTTTTTTTATATATTATTTTTCATTAAATCATAACTTTGTACATTGCTGCATTTATGAGGTCGAGGATACTGCTTCAATATACAATGTGAAATGCTTACATTGAATTAAGTAACACATCCATCACAATTATACTCATTTCTTAAATACTTTTTACTTTTTATTCATGTTTTATAATTTGTTTTCTGTTTTCTATCCAGACCCCTTTGAGATCCAGGGCATAGCAGGCTGTAAGCTACTGCCTGGGGGATCCGTAACAAGCTTCCTGAGTGGTGGTGTAGGAGGACTGGATTTCCTGAGCTTTGACAATAATACCTGTGTGCCTTCCCCAGAGGGGGGCAGCAGGGCCCAGCAGGCCTGCACACTAATCATGGAATATCAAGGTATCATTGACACTGGGACGAAGCTCCTATATGAAACCTGCCCTCGATACCTCTTGAGTGTCCTCAATGCAGGGAAGGCAGAGCTGCAAAGGCAAGGTGAGTCCTGCTCTCTACTTCCCTTCCCACCACCTGCTCTGAGCTCAATACCAGGACATAACTAAGAAGGACAGTGGCTCATCAGAGAGTTACTTGGTTCCCACAGTGATGGAAGGGGTCACTGTCCAACCTTATGGCTTTCTGAGTCCCTGTCATCTCAGTTCAAGTCCTGATAAGACACTCTCACTGTCCTTTCCTGCCCCAGCAAAGCCCAAGGCCTGGCTGTCCAGTGGCCCCAGTCCCGGGCCTGGCCGTCTGTTGCTGGTCTGCCATGTCTCAGGATTCTACCCAAAGCCCGTGTGGGTGATGTGGATGCGGGGTGAGCAGGAGCAGCCAGGCACTCAGCACAGCGACCTCCTCCCCAGTGCTGACTGGACATGGTATCTCCGAGCAACCCTGGACGTGGCGTCTGGGGAGGCTGCCGGCCTGTCCTGCCAGGTGAAGCATAGCAGTCTAGAGGGCCGGGACATCGTCCTCCACTGGGGTGAGAAAGAAGAACATGTTCCAAGCTGGACATGGGAGAAGGAGGTCCTCGGGCAGGGAAGGAAGCACTGGGGAAGGATAGGGCTTCACAGATTAGGGGAAGAGAGAGAAAGACTGATCCATTTTTGGAACACAAATTCCAACAGGAATAAAAACAGAGGAAGCAAGATATGGAATAGGTAATAATTTAGGACCTATAGGTTGTGGAATTGGGATAAAAGTCCTCCATTCATAGAATGGATAGATGGAATCGGAATATAAAGAGGGCTGTGGGGATGACCACACATTGAAAGCTGGCTAGTGGTGGCACTGGCACATAGGTGTCCAAAGCATGCCAGACAATTTGGGGCATGGGATGGGACATGACATTCTTTTTCCTTTGCCAATTCTCAGGACCACCCATCTCTATTGCTTTAATCTGTTTGGCAATTTTAGTGCCCTCCATCATCCTTTTGCTATGTGTTGCACTATGGCATATAAAGCGCAGGTGAGTTTTGGGGTTTTATTAATCTTTCTTTCTGACCATGCCCTCACTCTTTTCCATCATACTATCTATTTCATTGCTTTAGTCACAATCTGTCCAGAAGACCATTTCCACATCCTTTATATGGAGATATGTTATTTTAATCCTTTAAAAAAAAAACACAAGACAAAATTTACCATCTTGACCATTTTTTTTGAGTGTAGTTGAGTGCTATAATGTGCATTCACATTGTTATGAAACAATCTCCAGAGCTCTTCCATCCTTCAGAACTGAAACTCTATTCCTACTAAACAGAAGTTTTTCACATCCCCCATCCCCAGCCTCTAGACAGGAACATGGTACTTTCTGTATCTATGAATTTGCCAACTCTAGATGCATCATGTAGGTGGACTCATGCCCACATATGGTAACTGACTTTTTGTGACTGGTTTATTTCACTTAACATAAGATCCCCAATGATCATCTCTGTTATAGCCTGTGACAGGGTTCCCTTCTTTTGTGGCCCTGACACATTCAGATCATCCATTCATTCATCTGTGCTCACTGCACTTGCCTCCACCTTGACCTGTTGTGGATAATACTGCTATAAACACAGGTGTACAAATATCTCTTATGGAGAGCCCTGTATCATGTGGTTTTAACAGGTCATATCAAGATATCCCCTGAGTCCTCATCATGTCTTCTCTTCCATTTGGAATAAGGACCAAGAAGCCTAGCATCCCACAGTGTCAACCCAAGAGTCAGTCTCATCACATTTCATCAAATGATTGCCATATTTTATCAAAGTGGACTTTCTGTTCATTGCAAAATAAATTATAATTGCATTACCAGTAGAATAGGATTTAAAACAGTCAATATGTTACAAGTCTGTATGAATAGTATGATCCATGTCTTATATATTAAAATGTGAGGAATAACGTGTCTCAGAATAAAAGAAGTATGACATATACAACTTAATAATGATTTCTTTTGACTTTCTATTTTTTTAAGTTTCATTTTCTGCTTCTGCCTAACTATAATTTCTCAAAGTAAACTCAATGTGCATGTGCTGAGATAATTGTATTGCTCAGCAGGGCATTTTCATGTACTTTCTCTGTCTCTACCTGGAGGACTTTCTCACCTTCAAAGCCCAGCTGAGAAGTTTCTTCCTTCAGGAGGCCTTTCCCGCTGCTGCCATGGGAGTAACCCTCCTTGTCTGGTATCACCCACAGACCCTCTGTACTCAGCACCCACAGCACTGCAGTTATTTGCTGGGTCTCCCTTTTCTACTTGTAAGTTCCTTGAGGCAATGCTGCCTGTTTGTGGAGCTGCCTGACAAGATCTCCCTGCAAATGCATTTTCCCAGTAAAAATTATCTGAGTGCTGACTGTCAAGTTGATGGTCTTCTTCCAGAGTCGTCTCCTCCCTTCTTTTTCTCTCCTTTGTTCATATTCTAGATCTTCCTCTTCTTACCATATTTCACTTCACCAAAAATCATTCTGCTTTTCTTGTTTCAACTCTAAGTTCCTCTGAAGAAAATCACCCATGTCCTTACTGTAACTATAGTCTACCTTCAAAGAATTACTGTGGTAGAATACTGGTTCTCATTTTTCCAGTAAGGATGAGTGAGAGGCAGGGTAGGTGAGGAAGAATAGTTCAGGGGACTGGGACTTCAACCCAAGAAAAAGAATTAATAGGGCTCTTCCTGCCCTCAGGGTCCTTGCTTGATGTCTGTGCTGTATCAATGTATTTTTGCTTTACATCTCAATTTATTCATTGCTTAGTTTGAAGATTTCTAGAACTGTCCATCTTAAAACATCCAAATTCATTTTGATTAAAATAGTAAGAGTCCTGAGGGTTTGAATATATATCTTTAGGGCTTAGGAAGGAAGGTTAGGGGAAAGAGAAGTTTTGGAGAAGCCCGGGGTACTAGAAGCAATTCTCCTATCTGTTCATTTTAGGAAGCATGGTCTGTAGAACTTGACAAGGGTAGAAAATGAGTGAAATTGCAGCTTACTCCCCCTTGTATTAGTTACACCTGGCTACATCTCAGGTTTACATTCAGCCGGCCCATCTTACAGTACAGCCATGCTCCTGCTGTGTGTTGTAAACAGTATGGACACAGGGGGTGAACTATTAACAGGCTGCAGCAACGGTGCCTGGAACCTTCCTAGAAAATAAAATTTCTACCCCTCACCCCAATCTGCTGAATCAGAAATATGAGAATGGGCACCAATGATGTTTCAACCAGGCTTCCAGGTGAATCTGATGTATATTCAATTTGAAAACTGTGCTCTAATGGTCTCTCAGCCTCCACACTACTGGTATTTTGGGCCACATGTTTCTTGCCGTGGAAACTGCTCTGTGCACTGTCGGATGTTAGCGCATCCCTGACTCTGCCCACTAGAGGTTAACAGTGTGTGCTCAGTTGTGAGTCAAATATATCTTCAGACATTCTAAATGTTCCCTAGGAGGACAAACCGACCCAGATGAAAACCATGATCTAAGGTAATGATCATAATTTCATTCCCCTCTTCAGCCAGAATAATTGGCTCATCATGTATTTCCGACCTTTTTGGCCTGATCCAACTGAAGCTTAGGATTTACATTTGCTGCTTGAAGATAGTGGAGTTCTCTCGTTATCTGGCTGGTGTCATGTGCGCACAGCTCAAAATTGCAATAGAATTTTGTGCCATAGGAAAAGCAAATAATAATAGAGCCAAAGCCTGAATCAACTGCCCCTGAGACATGAATGATCTCTGGTTATTTCAGGTAGTTATAAGAACCTAATAAGTTTCATTTTTCCTTTTAAACCAATTGAGATTGAATTTTTAGTTGCTTGCAAATTCTGATATTATTGTGATCACTGATGTCTTGAGCCAGGTTTTCATATTTTCTCATATCTTTTCTCTGTTTTCCTGTGTTTTCTTCGCTCCTCTTATTCTGTCTATTCCCAAATTATGATCCCTCAATAGTGTTTCTTGAACTTATGATTTTCCTCTTAGTGTCCTTACCTTGATAAACCTAAATTTTCTCATTACTTTTACTATTGATAGGAGTCAAAGGGCTTTAAGCAGAAACAGGGAAAAGGGGCCTGAAGAAGAAGGGGTGGTCAGTCGGCAAGTCTGGAGGGTCCCCAGTGGGAGGTTTCGTGGCCACCACATAGTGCCCACGTGACCTGTGCAGCCTTTGTCAGTAGCCCTTGGTCACTGACACTGGCTACTGCTGGGCAGGGCTGCCAGGGGAAGGACTTCCTCACTGGATTGGGGGAACAAAGCACTCTGGTATGAGTAAAAGGCAAATCAAAGACTTGGACTCCTAGGATATCCAGACTCCTAGGAACCAATCACTGTTTACCAACAAGGGTTTTGTAGGCAGGTAAGTCTTACAATCCACTAAACAGCCAAGCTATATAACAACCCATTAGGGACCCCCTTCATTGTACTGGAAGCTTTCCTATCTTATATAAACTAAATAAACTAGAAAACTATCACTTTCACTTACCTGAGTGAAATTCTGTGAATTCAGATGATTCCCTAGAGCAAGAATACCATGAAGAGAAATTCAGTATCACTATGAGCACTACATGAATGACTTTCTGAAATAAATCTTCAACCACAAAACACAAGGATTTCCAAACTATTTTTGTGAGAGAATGCATGTGTGTGTATATGTGTTTGTGTGATTCTTACCAATATATTAATGAACATTAGTTTGCCCTTATCCATGGTGGGTATGTTCCAAGACCCCCTTGGGTGCTGGAAACCCCAGACAGTACCAAACCCAACTGCTGTCAATTGTTCATGTTTTCCATCTTCATGAAGTAGTGTTCCTAAGCTGTGAACATACCTATTACAGGTTGAGATGCAGCAACAAAACAAGCATAAATTTGTTTTTCTTCATAATTTCATGGATAGAAGACTCATTCTTACTGAAGAGCTTAGCAACCTCAGCATACATTTTGTTTTCCTTCTGTATTGAGCAAATCTCTCACCTTTTCACATAAAGAAAGCACTTTATAGCTTCTCTTCAGCATGTTTGATTGCCAACATCACTACCCTTGTGCTTTCATGCCACCATTAAGCAAAATAAGGGCTACTTGAATATAAGCACTGCAATATCGCAATAGTTCATCTGCAGGTGGCTGTTTCCTGAGCCACCTGCTAAGTGACTTGAAACCACAGATACTGAATGACTCCTTTTCAGGTTTTTAATTAGTAATATTATGCATGCAAAGACAAAGCACAATCAGGAATCACCAATTTCAATCCCCATTTCAATTCTGTTCCTGACACAGCATTGAAAAGTATGTCCACTCATAATTGAAATAAATTTCAGATATCATATTTCATCCATGAATGTTTCAACATGTATTTCTAAAATATAATTTTTAAGTATAACAATAATTACATTATGCTGTCTATAAATTTAAGATTCCTTAGTATCATTAAATATCTAATCAGCACTCAAATGTTTCACAACAGTCTCATAAATTATTTTCTATAATTAATACATTGAATTGGAATGCATTAAAATTAGTCGACATTTCTCATGGATCTCTTTTAGTCTATAAATTTCTCCCCTCTTACCCTAGAATTTCCTTTTGAAGACATTACATCCTTCTTCTTCTTAAGTATCAATAATTATCTGCAGTCTGGATTTTGTTGATTTAACAGCTATGATGCCATGTTATGCCCTTAATCCTACTAGTTGTTGATTTGTGATGTGATCAGATTCAAATTTTACTACACTGGGTATATCTCATAAGAGGTATATAACATTTGATAATCTCCATCCATTACCTGGATCGGAAGTGGGGAACCTGTTCATTAAGGATGCACTAACTTACCTATAATCAAATAAGGCCACATCAAGGAGCTTCAATGAGATATACTTTAAAATGTACAATATTGTAAACATCAAACTACTGTGCACATAATAATTTCAACAAATGAAAACTATTTGTTAAGTTTAAAGTTAACTAATCTTTTAATGACTTTGTTGTGTCTGCTATTGTTGGAACTCATCTGAGTCTCTGATTGAAGATGAAGGGCTGCAGTTTCAACTGATCTTCTAGTGGCTCTCAGTCATCAGTGACCGTAAGGGTGTCTTGTTTGGGGTTAGGTAGGAGAATGTAGATTTGCAGCAAGAAGTGGTTGAAAAGCAAGAAAGCATTTTTAGGCATGTTACAAAAGGAGTAGATGTTCTATTGCATTTTCTATATTTCAATTATGTCCTTCTAAGCATCAGTGACTTCAATGTCATCTACTTAGAGCTCAGTTCTCCATTATTATTTAGGTGCTTCTGGTGATACCAGCTAGGTGAGGTTGAAATGCTAATTTGACTATTAGAACATGACTTTCAAACTCAGTGAAACTTTTGTTCTATTCTTCGATTAATCTGTCTGTAATAGCTGTTAATTCCTCATGTGATTCACATATGACATCCAGCTCATCACTGACCTTTTATAACTGGGGAAAATGTTCAACCAAAATGTCATTTTGAAAAAGAAATGTTTTGGAAAAAAAAGATAGTTGTTTTTGAAATGCTTAGATTTTTTGCCTTAGTTTTACCATAAAATAAATATCCAAATCATTGTGATTTGACATGATATCACGCAGAAATGCCACATTCTTGCTGAAATCTGTTTTCAGTAATTTACATTGCTGATTCTATTCTTCATAAAATTTGACTGTCACTTTTCACACAGGTAAAGTTTTGGCTGCCA